CTTATACAGTATCTTTCAGGGGTTCTCTGCATTTCTCATATTTGAATGTTCTTTCTAGTGAGGTTGGAGACATTTTTGTGGTCAGTATTCTCAAATATGTTTTTCAAGTTGCTTGATCTTTCTCTCTCTTTCAGGGATGCCAATTAAGTTGTAGTTTAGTTCTCTTTATATAATCCCATATTTCTCAGTGGCTTTGTTTATTCTTTTTTCTTTATTTTTGTCTGACTGAGTTGATTCAATGAAACAATCTTTGAACTATGAGAGTCTTTCCTCACCTTGGTCTATTCTGCTGCTAATACTTGCAATTTTATTATTATATTATTTTAGTGAGTTTTTCAGCTCCATCAGATTGGTTTGGTTCTTTCTTAAAATGGTTATTTTGTCTTTCATCTCTTGTATGATTTTATTTCAACTTTCTCCTGAATCTCAATGATCTTCATCTCTATCCAGATTCCAAATTCTATGTCTCTCATTTTAGCCATTTCAGCCTGGTTAAGAAACATTGCTGAGGAGTTAGTACTATCATTTGGAAGAAGACACTCTGACTTTTTGAGTTGCCAGAGTTCTTGCACTGGTTGTTTCTCAGGCCAGGAACACAGTGGCCTGATGTTCCTTTAATCTTTAAAGTTGCTGTCTTTTGGATGGGGTTTTTTGCTTTTATATTCTTTGATACCATAAGGGTTTGACTGTGGTATAAGTTGGGTTTAGTTGACTGGTTTTCTTTCTGGAAGATTTCAGGGGACCAAAGCTCAGCTAAGTACTCTTGAGCTGCTTGCTGTAATCCTGGACGTCTAGTACCAGGCCCATAGGTTTATTCTCTGGCACCTTGAGGTTAAGCACCTACTGCACCTTAGGGGTTAAGGTGCTCCCAGTCTGCCGGTAACAATACTCTGATGAGGAGTGCCAACCAAAGCACTTCGTCAGGGTGGTGGCAGTGGAGTCAATGCTTGCACATGCATGTCAGGAACAGCTATCAGTGGTGTCCAGACAAAACTATTAAACCCAACTATAGCTATGCAAATTATTAATGAATGCAAATTACCAAATATGTAAATTTTGACATCAAAATAATGAAATGTGGGTGGGAGGGAGTGAAAGTGTAGAGTTTTTATATGCAATTAAAGACAAGTTTTATCAGATTAAAGTAAACTGTTTTAAGGATAAGCTATATTATGTAAGCCTCATGGTAATCACAAAGCAAACATTTATAGTAGTTACACACAATATAAAAAGAAAGGATAAAAAGTATACAACCATACAAAGCCACCAAACCACAAAGGAAGATAGTAAGAGAGAAAGAAGGAAGCAAAAGACCTATAATACAATCAGAAGAGAAATTACAAAATGGCAGTGGTAAGCACTTACTTGTCCATAATGACTTTCAATGTAAATGGATTATACTGTCCAATAAAATACATGGAGCAGCTGAATAGATTTAAAAAAAACAAGATCTAATCATAAGCTGCATACAAGAGACTCACTTTAGTAATAAGGACACACACAGACTGAAAGTGAAGGGATGGAAAAGATATTCCATGCAAATAGAAACGAAAAGAGAGCTGGGGTAGCTATACTTATATCAGACAAAATAGATTTAAGTTAAATACTACAAAAAGAGAAAAAGAAGGCCATTACATAACAAAGAATTTAAATCACCACAAAGACATAACAATTGTAAATATACACCTACCTAAGATCAGAGCACCTAAATACACAAAGCAATTACTAAACGATCTAAAGGAAAAAATAGAATTTAATAATATTACAGTAGGGGCTCTCCATATTCCACTTGCAATAATGGACAGATCGTCTAGAGAGAAAATCCATAAAGAAACCATGGACTTGAATTACACTTTAAATAGACCAAATAGAAATACACACAACACTGTATCCAATAGCAACAAAATAGACATCCTTCTTAAGTGCACATAGAACATTCTCCAGGATAGCCCATATGTTAATGCACAAAACAAATCTTAACAAATTTAAGAGAATTGAAATCATATTAAGAATCTTTTGAGATCACAATGGCATGAAATCAGAAATCAATAACCTCCAGGATTACAGATATCTTGGAAAATGCACAAATGTGTGGAAATGAAACAACATTCTCCTAAACAACCAATAGGTTAAAGAAGAAAGCAAATAGAAGATACAAAATTACCATGAGACAAACGAAAATGTTAAGACAATATATCAAAACTTATGGGAGACAGCAAAAGCAATCTTAAGAGGGAAATTCATAGCAATGAACATCTATATCAAATAAAGTAAGGTTACAAATAATCTAATGTTACCACTCAAGAAACTAGAAATATAAGTATAAACTAAGCCCAATGATAGCAGATGAGAGGAAATAACAAAACTCAGCACAGAAATAAATGAAATAGAGACTAGAAAAACAATAGAAAATGTCAACAAAACTAAGTTGGTGTTTTGAAAAGATAAACAAAGTTGACAAACCCATGGCTAGACTAGGAAAACAAGAGACTACTCAAATAAATAAGATCAGAAATGAAAAGAGGAGACATTACAATATGCATTGCCTATATCTACTATAATAGACATATATACACACACAAATCAATATGTGATACACCACATTATTAAAGGATGAAAATCATATAATGATTTCAATACATGCAGAAACAACATTTGAAAAAACTCAACAATCTTTTGTGATAAAATTCTTAACAAATTGGGTATAGGTATGGAGGGAATGTACCTCAGCACAATAAAGGTTACATATGACAAACCCTTAGCTAACATCATTCTCAATTGTAAAACACTGAAAGCTTTTCCTCTAGTGACAAGACAAGCATGCCTATTCTCACCACTTCTTTTCAATACAGTACTGGAAGTCCCAACTAGAGCAATTAGGCAAGAGGAAAAATTGAAGCCTAATAGGAAATGAAGAAGTGAAAATATCTCTATTTTCTGATGACATGATCTTATATGTAAATCCACCAAAAAACTATTAGAACTGATAAATGAACAGTAAAGTTGCAGAATATAAAATCAACATATAAAAGTCAGCAGCATTTTTACATACTAATAACAAATTAAAATGAAATTAACAAAACAATCCCATTTAAAATAGTAACAAAACACTAAATACTTAGGTGTACATTTAATGAGTAAGCAAAAGTCCTGTACACTGAAAACTATAAAACACATGAAAGAAATTGAAGAAAATACAAGTAAATGGAAAGATACTTCATGTTCACGGATTGGAATAGTTAATATTGTGAACGTGTCTATACTACCTACAGTAATCTACAGATTCATTGTAATCCCTACAAAAATTCCAATGTCACTTTTTTTCACATAAATGTAAAAAAAATCCTTAAATTTGTATGAAACCACAAAAGACCCCACATACCTAAAACAATCTTGAGAAAAAAAATCAAAGTTGAAGGCATCATACTCTGTGATTTCAAGACACATTACAATTATAGTAATTTAATCAAAATATCATTGTACCGGCATAAAAATACGGGCATTGACCAATGCGCCAGGATAGAAGGCCCAACACGTATGTTGTCAATTGATTTTTGACAAAGGTGTCAAGAACACACAATGGGGAAAGGGCATCTTCTTCAATAATCAGTGTTGGGAAAACTGGAAATTAGATCCTTATCTCTCACCATGTGCAAAAATCAACTAAAGTGAATTAAGCACTTAAATATGAGACCCGAAACTGTAAAATGACTAGAAGAAAACATAAGGGAAAAGCTTCATGACATTGGTCATTCACATTTAATATTTTGCTATTACAAAAAGATGCTCCAAAAAGCATACTTACACATATTTTTTGTTCACAGGCACATGCATTAATCTAGATACATACTTATATCTAAGAAGTACTGGGTTACAAAATATGTAGATCTTCACCTTTACCAGATACTGCTTAATTTTTCTCAAAAATAGTTACAATAATTACAATTCCACCAGAAATGCAGAGAACTCTCATTTTACTACATCCTTCACTTATTATCAAAAGCTTACATTTTTGTCAATTTACAGAAACATGCTTCCAAAGACCGAGGAAGCAGGGAGAGTAAAGAGGCTGACCAATCCAGTTTCTCAGAAAGAAACGCTTAATAGACACAAACAGAAGCAACCCTTGCACTTGCTCTCCTGAAAGTATGCTTTATTTAGCAAGATATAAGGGTAAAGGGAAGTGCGACTAGTTAGCTCTCAGACTATTGTGATCACTGGAGACGTTAGATAAGCATCTTTATGAGGGATTATGTATGTATGTTGTGAACATTGTTTAAAGACCTTTGCTGCAGAACACTTTGGTATGCAGTGGGTCAAACATCAGTTCCCAAGATAGTTTTGCTTCAAGTTGGTGTCACTCTTGCCACGAAACAGGCTGTTTTTCTGCACAGTCTAATGGATGTGACATATTATCTTGTCTTAACTTGCATTTTTCGGATGACTACAGAAAGTTTGACTTGCTGTTCATATTTTTTCCATTTCTCTAGTGTGTCATTGTTCTTATTATCTCTTTGCATATTTTAGAAATACTTTATATTTTATAACTATGTTTTCCAAGTTTGTGCTTTAACTTTAATTTTCTTAGTTATGTAGTCAATTTTTAATTAACATTTTTATTTTTAATGTTTTTTGAAACTCTTCCGACCGCCAAAGTTATGAACACATATTTCTATATTTTCTTATCAAAGTATATTTTGCCTTTCATATTTACATATTCACTTCACCTGGAGTTTATTTTTGTGTGTAATGCCAGGTAAAAAATTTTTCCTACGTGGATAGTAAATTATTTTGGCACCACAAGTTCATATTTACAAGGCTACTTGTCTATTTAATCATGCTCAAAACCAGCTCGACCCTTTCATGTCTTTCATCACATCCTTTATTGCTTACCTCTCACCACGCCCTTCTACAGTAGCATTATTTCCTTGTTAAACCAGACCATTCACTGCATTTACTCTTCTTGCAATATGCTAAAACTGTTCCTATTGTCTCTATGAGTCATGTTTTCTGCCTTTTTTCCTTACTAAATTTAAACCTCTGGTGAAAAAGACATTGTCCAATTTATGTTTTCACCTTTAATACCGAGCATTGATGTAGTAGGTTTTCAAATATTCTTGTTTTATTCTGAATTTGTTGGCCCTTATAGATGGGAAACTTCACCTAGTACGAGCTATATATCCATATATTTAGGAACAATCACAACAGTTTTAATGAATAGGAACCAGTCATCTTTTCTGCCCTGGTGGATAGGCTACTACTTAGTGGTCGTCGGTGGATGGCGCTGACCGCGGTTGATAGAAGGAACTGACCCCGTTTGCAAGCGTGGCCTGGGTGTGCTCGCTTCGCAGTAGAAGCTGGGAGTTGGGCCAATTCTGAGCCTAGTGATGCGCCCGTGTATGTGTTCACATCGCCGTCCAGTCTTCTTCACTTCCTACAGATGCCGGGACCCCCAAAACAGCAAGATGTGGACATTCACATTCGAAGACACAGGCTGTCCGTACAGCGAACGTTGTCACCATTCCCAGAGATAGGGCCCCGACCTTCAAGTAGGCGGTGCGGTTGGCGCGCAGTTCTCAGGGGCCTTCTAGAATCTCCCGCCAGCCTCCCCGCTGCCTGGTTACCACACGCTGCCAGAGACACCCAACCTCCCCTCTCGAGGGACCGGGTTGGCCGGCCCACCTTTGTAGGGCTGATTGAAGGCCACATCGACATAACAATTGAAAGGGAAGGACGCGGACACCACCCGGTACCCGCCCCAGGCGTTTCCAGAGTCTCCGGTTAGGTGACCCGTGGGGGTCGCGGTCGCGGACCGGGGACAGAGCAACAGGGCGGGCGCGCAGCGCCGGCCGCAGTCCCAGAGCCGCCCACCGCCGCCCCACGGCCGCCTAGCGCGCGCCGGGACTGCATTTCCCATAGGCCCGCGCTGCGGAGCACCGCCCACCCGAGCCCCACGCGAGTGCGCGGCCGCGAGGTGTCCCCGCCGCAGCCCCAGCCAGCCGGCCCGCAGAGCTTTTGAAAGGCGGCGGGAGGCGGCGAGTGCCATGGCGAGCCCGGGCCGCCTACTGTGCGTGCTGGGCCTGCTACTCTGCGGGGCGGCGAGCCTCCGGCTGTCCAGACCCCACGGTGACACCGCCAAGAAGCCCATCATCGGTAAGGAGGCTGTGCGGGGCCGCAGCATATGGGGAGGGGCTGGGTGTCGGTGCTGGGCGCCTCCCGCCGCCGCGCTCCAGCTGTCGCGTCCTGCCAGGGAAAAACCCCAGATGTGCTTGGCTTTTGGTGCAAGGAGGACCCCGGGCTGGGTACCATTTGGATCCTACTGAAATGTACCTGGTTGAAGTGTCTCGTTCATTCCTTTAGACTCATATGGCTCTTAAAGATGGGAGGGAGGAGGGTGCACCGTGAAGAATCCTGTGGATTTCCTTTTTTTGTACACAGCTAGGAATTTATACTAAAATAAAACATGTCTTTTTCGCACATAGTTGGGAATTTTTTACTCATTTACATCTACACGTGCGTGCATTACATTTGTCAAAATGTCTCAGGTTGAGGGCGTATTTAAAATACCAGTGCATTGTAATATAAAATCAAGAAATTAAGGTATAATTTGGATTTTGTCATGTTCAGTAGCAGAGGACAACAGTGGCTAATATCCTAATGTAGGTTCTATTTGATGTTAAAATGCAGTACACAATTTTTCGTTTCCAACATATTTGTGTTTTAAAGACATAGTAAAATCAGTCTGTGTTACCAAAACACACATTTGAGACAGGCCCAAGGAAGGCTACCTGGGAGAAATCATCCTGGGGTTAAAATTTGCCCAAATAAATTTGTGTGGACATTAAGATTAGTTTTATTTTGGCTGTAGGATTATGCCTTTCATACTATTTTTTTTTCTATGAAGATTATCACTGTATTCTGTAACTAAACAGAAATTAGATGAATGTTTTTTCATATAGGTAGTGCCCAATTTTCAAATGGATTGCTTACTAATATTTGGAACTTATTTCATAGCTGTTTAACATGGTGATTTGATTCTCCACGAACTAACTCAAGCTGTAATTAATGTAACGGGTTGCATATTGTGTGTCCAGAGGAGAGAAAAAAAGCAGAGGGGATTGTTTTCCCTTTCCTAGAATCAGGGGTAGCCCTGTGTCAAATATTTTAAAAAGGAACTTTGCTTTTGGTCACTGAGATCAGCACAAAATCGTTAACTGAGTACCGACTATGTACACAGTCTTGCTCTAGGAAGTGCAAAGGATTAAAAGATGACAAGGAAGCTACAAAAGTTATCAGATGGCCTTAAATTATTGGTGAAATTTTGGTCACATTTTGAGGGACAGGGAGAACAGCTTGAGCTCTTTTCCCAGGGATGGGAAAAGTGAGTATGCTGGGCCCAGGGGAAGGGGAGATGTTGGTGGAACTCACTTTGATGTACTTCTCTTTCTGGTAACCCTTGTGCTCCCATGATGCCCCATGTCACCTTTGTGGTACCTCACTCCATGTACCCTGTACCACTCCATTTCCTATGACATTCCTAGTTCTTTGTTCCCTAGCCAAACTTTGTATTCCTTAGTAAAGATGATTTTACCTACCAGTAAGGACAAAAAGTCTTACGGAACAAATTTTGTTGTTTGATATGTTACCTGAATAACTGATGAATGCCAGTTGTAAGAAGCTGGAAATACAAAAGTGAGTAATACAGACAACAGCTCTTCCTATCAGGTGGCCTACAGAGACACTGAAAGTGTTCCAAATGCTGAAGTGCTAAATGGTAGTAGGCACAGGTACTCACCCGACAGACGTGTTTTGATGTGTGCTGGTTGCTGTACTGTGCTGGGGCTGGGTTTCACTGGTAAAAGGAGGCCAGAGAGATGGGTGGGGCAGAGCACACAGGGTCTTACAGAGTTTATTAAAGTTTAGGGACCCACTGAGGTGGTTAAACAAGGTGGTGACACCTGCTTGCTGATCTGTCTTTCCCTGATCTCCTTTCCTATTGCTTTCTGCCTTCACTCACCTGGCTCTAGTAACATGGATTCCTTGCAATGTGACAGGCACCTTCCTGACTCCTGGCCGTCTCTCTTGCCATTCCTTTTTCCTGGATTCCTCTTTTCCCAGATATGTGAATATGGTTTACTCTGTCACCTCTCTGGAGTCCTGGCTCAAATGTCATGTTTTACCTTCTCAAGGAGGACTTGCCTGGCCACCATATTGAAGACACTGTCCTTTCCTCCATAGATGGGATCTCCTTCCCCACCTTCTTTCTCTCCTTAGTGCCTACGACCAGCCACTCTATATATTATGCCTTTTTATCTTGTTTATTGTTTGGCCTCTCTCCCCTCCCTGATACATATTTCATTTAATGCACACAGGGTAGGGGTTTTTGTTTGGTTCTCTCATATTCATGTGTCCCCAGCACCTAGTTTGTTGCCTGGCATGAGGTATGATTCAGCAGTATATATTGAATGACTGTAGGAACAGGAATGGTGATGTGATCCAATTTGCTTCTACGTGGGGAGCTGCTTGGAGCTTGAGGGATTTCTTAAGAAAAGATGTAACAAGACCTTCTAAGAGTCTATTATCATAGTGCAGCGGGGAGAGGAGAGTTATTGATAGCTTGGGCTAAAGTAATGTTGGAGAGGTGTGGATGGAAGATGTTTTTACTTCTTTGCTTCATTGTCAGGGAATCAGTGTGTCTGTGAGTATGTGTGGGAAAGGAGTGACAGCCTTGTAGATTTAAGGATCTGTATTCTTTAGATGGATTCTAGGTCTACAGTTGTGTGAAGGCTGCATGTGCTACTGTAAGCCTTCTTTGGGGGCTTATTTGGCTTCCCTGATGTGGTGAGAGATAGATGTGCTTGAAACTAAGATTAGCTTCCCTTGCTTCTTTCCCATAGCCTGTGGGTGGACTTGGAGGAGAAACTTCCTATTTAATTCTGTGAATTGAAATAATAAAATATGATATTTTTGCTGTGATAGATTTCAGTTTCTGAGCAAGAAGAAATTTGCTTGAAACTAAACTTTTTTTTTGTTATTAGGAATATTAATGCAAAAATGCCGTAATAAAGTCATGAAAAACTATGGAAGATACTATATTGCTGCATCCTATGTAAAGTATTTGGAGTCTGCAGGTGCAAGAGTTGTACCAGTAAGGTATGATTCAGTATTTTTTTAAATTTTACTCTGTAAAGAAATTGCTGCATATGGCCGGGTGCGGTGCCTCATGCCTGTAATCCCAACAATTCGGGAGGCCGAGGCGGGTGGACTACCTGAGGTCAGGAGTTCGAAACCAGCCTGGCCAACCTGATGAAACCCTGTCTCTGCTAAAAATACAACAATTAGGTGGGTGCAGTGGTGCACACCTGTAATCCCAGCTACTAGGGAGGCTGAGGAAGGAGAATCGCTTGAACCAGGGAGGTGGAGGTTGCAGTGAGTTGAGATTGTACCACTGCACTCCAGTTTGAGCAACAGAGCAAGACTCCCTCTCAAAAAAATAATAATTGCTGCATAATATCTCTAAAATTAGTGCTTTCTCTTTATGATTACATTGTTTAAATTCAGTAACATTGCACCTGATTTTTGCCACTAACATGTTGCTTAGAGTCTCTCATTGAATTGTTCAGTGTGGGAAGCTGTGTGTTACCTGTAATGTCATTAGAGGTACTGTATGTCATATGCATTAGCATCAAGAATGAAATGATAGTTTCCTTTACCCCAGAAAAGGTGGTCCTCACAGATACTATGAAGGTAATGGAGTAAAAGAATCTAAAATTTATGCAAACTCAGAGTGGGAGAGGGTGGTTGTGGGGGTGAGAGATAAAAAATTACATATTTGGTACACTGTACATTACTTGGGTGACTGGTGCATTGAAATCTCAGACTTCACCACTATACAATTCATCCATGTAACCAAAAACCAGTTTTACCCCAAAGGCCATTGAAAAAAAAATTTTTAAAAAAATCTATAGTTTAACCAGCTTTATTCTATAATATTAGGATAAGAGAACACTTAGAGAATGAAGGAGGTTTTTAGAAAATGACTTTTAAAATACCTTCACACTCTACTTTAAAAGTTTGTAAATTACTAATGCATTAGAGTTGCTTCAGTGTAGATTATAAATATTGCAGTTTTAAAGGCACTACATTATTTTTGTGATAAAATGTTCCTATAAGAATAAAATGATTCATCTCATATTTTCATTTAGAACTGAATTCTTCCCATATTTTTCATTTGGAAGGAGCTAACAACCAGAATCTTATATGTATTTATAATATCTTGTCAGCTAAAATTAATGTATTTTATAGTCTTTCAGCACCCTCATCTAATCCATTTTGAGTGATTTCACACACAAAACACTATTTATTCTATACAGCCTGTTTCTGTAAATAATTTCTTATCAAAAATTATAACAAAAGTACTGTTCAAATATAATACTACTAATAAAGCCAATATTACAATTTAGAGAATTGTACCACAAAATGGCTTTAGGTTTAGATTTATAAGAATTGTTTTCTCGTATGATCTTTTACATTTAAATTAACTGTTTCTACACCAGGATTACCATTTGCTTTTGATATTAGTCTTTCATATTTTAGTAGCATATCTAATTTTACAAATGACATTTTATTTGAAACCCATGTAACATCAGAATTTTAGAGCTGGGGAAGAGGCTCTAGAGAGTCTTCAGAACAGTGTTTCCAAGTTTTCATCAAGGAAGCTTTTTAATGCAAGCTGTTCTAGGATGTTAGCACTGACCGTGTGCATGGGAGACAGGAGAGACAAAAGCAGAGCAGCCATAAAAAAGAATGAAATCATATCCTTTGCTGCGATGTGGATGCAGCTGGAGGCCTAAGTGAATTAATGCAGAAACAGAAAACCAAATACTGTATGTTTTCACTTATAAGTGGGAGCTAAACATTGGGTACACATGGACACAAGGATGGCAGCAATAGATACTGAGGGCTACTAGAGGAGGAGGGGGATAAGGGCTGAAAACTTACCTGTTGGATACTGGGCTCACTACCTGGGTGACAGGATCTTTTGTACCCCAAACCTCAGCATCACACAGTATACCCATGTAACAAATCTGCACACATACCCTCTGAATCTAAAATAAAAGTTGAAATTATACAAAATAAATGAAGTAAAATCATAAATGAAAGAGGAGACATTACAACTAATGCTACAGAAATAAAAAGGTTCATAAAGACTACTTACAAGAAACTGTATGCCAACAACATATGTAACCTAGAAGAAATGAATAAATTGTTAGAAACACACAGTCTACAAAGACTGAATCATAAAGAAATAGGAAACAAACCTGTCACTGGTGAAGAGATTGAAATGGTAATCAGTAGCCTCTCAACACAGAAAAGCCCAAGACCAGCTGGCTTCACTGGTGAATTCTACCAAACATATAAAGCAGAATTAATACCAGCCCTTCTCACACTCATCCAAATAATTGAAGACAGTACAATTCCAAGAATGAACCCCAATGTAAACTAGGATTTGGGCAATTATGATGTGTCAGTGTATTTTTATCAACTGTTACAATGTACCACCCAAGATGTTAATGGAGGAAGCTATGCATCTTTTGGGGCAAGGGTTGTATAGGAAATCCTTAATCTTTCCTTAATTTTGCTGTGAACCTGAAATTACTCTAAAAAATAAAGTCTTTAAAAAAATAAAACAAAATGCCTTAAGGCAGGTAGACCAGTTTAGAGGTAGTTGCAGTAGGCTAGGTGTGAAGTGTTGAGGGCTTGGCTTAGACCGGTGGTGTGGGAATGATAGGTAAGTGTTGTTTAAAAAAAAAATCACCAATATATGATGACTAATAAAAGGGCACAGGGAAGAAAAAATAGATAAGGATGATGGAAGTTTTGAAATCATGGGAGTTTTGAAACTGAATGACTTTGCAGAATATTGGTATTTATGAGAGATGCTGAGAACGTGACTGTCAGCATATAGGTTAATTTCCAGCTTGGGTTCTCAGAGTTCATTTAAGGTATGTTGTTGGAATCATGAGATCCTGTAGAAACAGTGTAATACATAGGGGCTAAGTTCACAGACTAGCCTGCAAAGGATTATCTGGTGCAAAATAAGACTGAAATGATCATGATGATGTTAGGTTCATTTCTGAATTTTGGATGCTAGGAGTCAACTTCTGTGGTTTAGAAGTGAAAAGGAAGAGATGGGAGACCTCGGAAGCATTCTGAAATAGGTCAAGAAATTTGTCTTTGGTTTCCTTCTGCCTTCTTCCTGCCACCTTCTCTCTCAGGCGCTTGGTGCTCTCAGGTTGTCATAAATTCCCAGTGTGGGACTAGTGGAAAACAGAATGTCCTGCTTCCTCAGAGGTAGCATACAACAGCCCATGGGCTGCAGCTTTTGGTTTAAAAATGTGTTTTGTTCACACCGCGTTTTAAAACACAAATCAGGCTGGGCACGGTGGCTCAGGTCTATTATCCCAGCAATTTGGGAGGCTGAGGTGGGAAGATCACTTAAGCTCATGAGTTTGAGACCAGCTTGGGCAACATGGAACAACCCCTATTTATAAAAAATTTTTTAAAAAGCCGGGAGTGGTGGCGTGCACCTCTCGGCCCAGCTACTCAGGAGGCTGAGGTGGGAAAATCACTTGAACCCAGGAGGTGGAGGTTGCAGTGAGCTGAGATGGTGCTACTGCACTCCAGCCTGGGTGACAGAGCTGGACCTTTCTCAAAAAAAACCCCAAAGACCACAAATCAGACTTTATAAGAGTCTGAATTTTTGGTTTTTTTTGAAGACAGTTATTTGGATTGGGTTTTAAATGGGGCAAACACTCCCCATTGGCAACAGTGCTTTGCCATCCTTTTCTTGCTGCTAAAACTGTGTCATTTGCCATCATCACCAGGCTTAAGCCATGTCCTTACATTTAAGGAGAGAATAAACTGTTTCTCATACCTTGTTGAAAGGGGCTTTTGTTTCAAGAAATGTCTGACAATGTGCAACTTACAGTTGTATTCTCTGCCAGGGCCCCTAGGCACCAGAGTTGTGACATGGCACACTCCTTCCCCTGTGACAATTAAGCCTCTTAATAGTGATAAGTGGGGACCAAAACTATAGTCATGGACAATGTGGGAGCCATTTATTTAGAATTAATGAAATGACTGAAACTAGCTTGCACTGCTAGCTGGCAGGAGTCCTTGGAGTGCAGCTGTGTGATATAAATCCATTTTGGTCCCTGATGGTAGTGGTTGCCCATTCTGGTTTAAATATCCATGGGGAGAATTCTGGGTCCTGACTGGTTGGTTCCTTTTTATTGCCATAATCTGGGGAGATTAGATTGGCAGAATACTGGGTACATATAGATTCATATTTCACCTCCCTGTCACTTCCCAAGGCAGGGCTACCTGTCAGTATTTTCTCCACTTAAGACCATGGTAAGCACCATTCTGGTATCACCCATTGCTTTTGTGGTCCTCTGCCAGGAAGAGATTACTATGAACTTGTGAAAGACAGACCTGGACTTGCAAAGCTTGTTTGGACTTGAGAGTAGATCCCAAAGTTGTTTGCTGGCAAAACACAGCCTGTGTTCTGGATATCACAGGTGTCTAGTTAATAATCGGTGTGAGGGATCTCACCTCCCCCTAAAACTTCTTTGAGGGCAGAAATGGACTAGTTGACATCTAGTCATAAGTCTACTTCCTTTAGGGCAGGTTGAGAGGACAGGTACCATTTATTCTCTCGCAGAAACCAAAGGCTGCTTAAATGTGGGAGAGTTCTTGCAAGGATTTCACCGACTTGGTGCTCTCCTCCCTTATTGTTGCATTATATTGAACTTTTGGGAGAGCAAATATCTTACTGTGACTTAGTAAATGTTGTTGCCGTATGTCACAGATTAATCCCATCTTTTTTTTCTGGAGAAAGGGAATAAAGTCACCAATAATATGGCAATTGTTAGGAGGCCCTTAAGGGGTGTTTGATCAAGGGTCTTTCAGAGTAATTACCTGGGCATTTAGGCTGTTCTACAGTCATCTCTCTGTAGTCTGTCAATTCAGACTAGATCTGAACCGTCCTGACTTTGAAATGCAGAGTAGTCCCTAGACTCTTGCAACTAGTTTGTTGAGGTAGGATGAAGCAGAGACTTGACATTTATTTATATATTTTTTCATCTGCCAGAGCTGCCTGTAGTTAAATAGGCATGATAAATAAAGTTACTTAAAGGAGTCTTTACATAAAACTACTGACTATTCTTACATTTCTTTTTGTAGTTTTTGGTTAGTAGAGAAATTACTGGTGCCTAAATCTCATAGTCTTTAATGTTTTGCATACTAAAACATAGTTCACAATATTAAATTATGTTAGATCACAGAAAAGCATATTTACTTGTCTGATTAGCAAAACAAAGGTAGAATTATGTGGCTTTCAAGTGGTTTGCAAAAATGCCTCTAGGAAAGTAGATAATATTGTCTAGTAATTAAAAATTAGTTTTTATTTGGCTTTTTAAAAGTAATGTGGTGACTTCGTTTAGAGGTTTACTTGTAAGTTTCACAAATATAACAATAACTGTTTTTATTGTTTTCAGGCTGGATCTTACAGAGAAAGACTATGAAATACTTTTCAAATCTATTAATGGGTAAGTTGGCAGCATTGGTTTGATGCGGTATATGAGTGGTCTACATATATGTCTGCTTTTGTAAAATAAATCATACAAATATACATATTTCTTTGTAACTATCTTAGAGTGGTATAGTATTAGTTTTCTGAGTTCTTTTATAGGATATATTTTCTTGGGAGATGCAAAAGTTCTTCAAAAGAGGAAGAGGCAGGTTAGGAAATGTATAATTGTTACATAGTAGACACACGTAATTTTTTTACACGTGTGACTTAATCTTTGTTCTTTTAATGCTTGTCTTAAATGCTTGAAGCTACCTTGAATGGCGTGGCATACTGCTTGCATATGGAGTTTATAAGTCCAAAGTCTGAGGATGTTGATTTTTTTTTTTTTTCAGGTATATTGGAAAAAACCGTTCTGTCCTCTGGTTTCACCACAAAAGATATGTTAGCTCACAGAACAAGACTTCTAATCATATGAAAAAAAAATGTTCACCATTACTCTTAATTTTAGGAAAGAAGGCTAATTACAGCAGTCCAAAACATTTAATTACCAAGTTGTCAGAGATCAGAAAATTTGCTTATACTCTGTAGGGCCTGTGAGGGAACAGGCATGCTCATACTTTATTAGAGGAAATGTAAATCATGTAGTCTATTTTGGGATAATGTTGCAATACCTATTGAAATTAGAAGTACATACACCCTTTGACCTGGGAACTTGAGGAGGAATTGTATTTTATAAATATATCCCACCTTGCATGAAGACTTAGACTCAAATATATGCATTGCATTAGTAGTATTGTCTGACTGTCACCCAGTAGTCCATCAGGTGAGAATTGGTGAAATAAAACAGACTATGTACATTTAGTAGAATACTATGCAGGAATTAAAAAATGAGGCTATCTGTAGATGCTGACTTGGATCACCATTGTCCCCCATGTGAAAAAGGCAAGGCATGTGATGGTGTGTATAGCATACACCCCGTTTGCTTTTTGTTAAAAGTCAGGGTGAAGAGATATGCATATTTCTACAAATCAACACAGCAGATTTTAATGGCAGTCATTTCTGATTGGAAATAGGGTGGGAGGAAGTATTTTACTGTAAAATGTTTTTTAAAAAGAGCTTTATTATTTTTACTTCGAAAACCATGTTAGTTTATTGTTTCTTTTAAAAAGCCATGTTTACAAACACCGCATGTTCTCACTCATAGGTGGGAATTGAACAATGAGATCACTTGGACTCGGAAAGGGGAACATCACACACTGGGGCCTATTATGGGGAGGGGGAGCGGGGAGCGGGGAGGGATTGCATTAGGAGTTATACCTGATGTAAATGATGAGTTGATGGGCACTGATGAGTTGATGGGTGCAGCACACCAACATGGCACAAGTATACATATGTAACAAGCCTGCACGTTGTGCACATGTACCCTAGAACTTAAAGTGTAATAAAAAAAAAAAGCCATGTCTAGAAAATTATTTGCCTTCAGTTCAGTTTGGTTCAGTAAATATTTACTGTAAAATCATTTCAATTTAGTAAAACATTTACAATGCCCAGTATGTGCTGTGTGCAAGGTACTTTGGCATGGACAAAGATCATTAAGTCTAGGCTAGAATGTAATAGTAGAACCTCAAAAATAGACCTTTTGAATCACTTCATTTTCTTCCCACCCTCTCCCCAATTGCATTCCTGTTTGGAGAGGAATCTGAAATCAAGTAGCAGTGTAGACAGTAATACATAGTTTTGGGAGCTAGCCTGTGCATTTGCTCAGTATGTCTTCATACAAACCACCAAAATGAGTCCATTTTCTATCTTCCTCACTTGTTTTCGGCATTGCCACTAATTCTTGCTCCTGTAGGCCCCTTTTCTCTCTCACGTAGTCACTGAAAGCTGCACTCCAAAGTGGGTTAAATTGGGGGCCTTATTTATATCTCGGAGTGTCACCAGAAAATGAGCTGTATTCTAATGTGACTTCAAAAGCACCTTTATTGAGTCCCTATTATGCATTGGACCCCATAGTATTTTGCAGGGGGAATAACAGAGATGAAAAGACAGAGCCTTGCCTTAAGGAGTTTGTCATATAGGAGGGACAGTCAGGTTTTGCTGCATGAAAGGACTTTGGGGTTAGACATACCGTATTTGATCAGAGGCAGCTTTTTAAATACTAAGTTAATGTCTGTAAGCTGGAGACCTGGGATGCAAAACATAAAAATTAAAAAATACTGAGTTAATGGAAAAAGAGAGCACTGATGAGTCTCCCCTAAGCCACTTTTAATTGTGGGATTTTCTGCTTGGGTTTGTGGTAGATATTCTCCCACACAGATGCTTTTATGTTTTCTACCAGACTGTGATCTTCCTAACAGCAAAACCACTCATGTTTGTCTCTCTAGGCAAGTCCTGAGTCTAGCTCATGGAAGAAACAATATATTTCTTGAATAACAACAATCTCACAAGTGATATTTCACATACCTCAAACTTGTATTTAAATATTTTCAAACTTTTAATATGTTTAATACCATTTTTCTTACCTCTTTTGAATATCCTTGGTTCTTTCAAGATGTTGCTATAAATTTTAAATTTAAAAGTTTAATTTTAAAAGTTGATGTAAAAACATGGTAAAATAGTTTTCTATATTTCACCTTTATAAGTGTGTAAAATAATATCAAATATTTTGATTGCCTTATTTTCCTATACTTTTTGTAGACTCGTAATTATGTTTCTTGAAAAAAATGTTCTAATACCATGCATATTTCTGAAGAGACTCAGGGTGATAAGAATTAAGTTCTTGTAGAAATTTAATTCCAGCTTTTATGACCAGCTTGTTCTTTACAGTTAAATTATTTGTGAGCTAAGTCCTACCCACCTGCAATTGATTTGGCATCACAGATCACCTTCTTTTAAACCTGGCTAAACCTGGAATTTTGTCCGTCTTTGATATCTAGCTCCGTGTACTCTTGCCCCTCCCCTACTTATTTACTTTTAATTTTCCCACACTCTATTTCATCAAATAAACTTTTTGAAGAGGTTTTTGGAAAATATTCTCTAAAGCGTTGTTAACTGCTGCAGTTTCTGAATGGCTGGGATTGTAAATATTTTATAATTTCTTTTTTGTTTTTCTAATTTTCTTCAAGGATCTTATTACATATGTAATAAGAAAAATTGTTTTAAAATAAAAAGATTGTTTTCTGTGTGTGTATGGGTTAGGGGTGGCAAAATACACCCTATTTGATTTATGTGACGTTGTTTCAGAATCCTTTTTCCTGGAGGAAGTGTTGACCTGAGGCGCTCAGATTATGCTAAAGTCGCCAAAATATTTTACGACTTGTCCATACAGGTAAATATCAGTTATTGCTTGTTATTCCAGATGGGTTTTTGTAAGTTTTGTAAGTTTTAGTGAGAGTAGTTCTTGTTTTAAGCAGATGGTAATGCTCCCTTCAAAATTATCCTTAGCCTCATCATACCTTTAACCTTGAGGCACCTGTTCTTGGCTGCTCCCAAGTAAAAGTGTTTTCCATGTGCTTCATCTAATCCTGGGCTTCCAGAGACCCTTTAGAGCTCTGCTGACTGGTCCTCTCTTGATGCTTGTTAATGTGAACCTTGTCCTCATGTGGTGTAGACATTCTGATGTCTTTCTCTGTCCTCTTATTTTTATTTATTTATTTATTTTTGCGACATTGTTTCTATGTTATTAATTCTCACTTCTTGAAATCTGTTCTTCTTCCCAACTCATTCAATCCTATTTGAACTTTCTTCACAGTTACCATAGACTCCATGTTCATTTACCAAGCAGAGCTTCTGAGCCTCTGACTTCTCCTTTGTAATGGTCACAGTGGGACTGCCTTTGTACCATAGCTCAAACCCTTACTGTTTCTCTCCTCAACTATTAACAGTGATTTTTAAATTAATCTTGCTGGCCCTAGTATTTTACCAATCCCACCTTAAATATTTCCCTAAATAAGTGTTTTTAGCCTTTGAAATACTTGTTTCAAACTTTTAATAGCTAAGGTCAGTAATCTGTAGGCTTTTATGGTCTTTGGGTCAAGATACACAGTGTGTCCACAGCTCATGTTTTCCAGCCTGTGTGGGAACTTGGTCTGAAGAGAGATTAAGTGATAGCCTACTTATGGATCCTGGAGAATTCTTCAGAAATCCATGTGTAACTCAGGTGCCTGTTTGATAATGACAAAAGGTACGGCTAATTTTTATTTTGAAAAGTTTGAATAAACTTAGTTTTCTCTTTTTCCACTTGCAAAGAGTTTTCATGATGGAGACTATTTTCCTGTGTGGGGCACATGCCTTGGATTTGAAGAGCTTTCACTACTGATTAGTGGAGAGTTCTTATTAACTGTCACAAATACTGTTGACATGGCAATGCCGCTGAACTTCACTGGAGGTAAGAGTACTCTTCAACCCTTTAAAAAATGTTTTCTGGGCAGGATTAGTAAATAGCAAATATGAAAGTAAAAGTGCTTATTTTTATTTTCTTTTTAGCCTTTTCCCTGAAGAAAAAAATGCTTACAACATTAGCATTTAAATTATTTACACAGGTTGAAGATGTGAATTACCATCCTTATACTCATTTATGAGGATGATTTAAGGAATTGTGAATTTTAATAACTCATTGCTTCTAGTGATATCAGGACTGTGTGTGATGAAGAACTCTGAAATGGAATCTGGTTTTGAGTACTAGTTTTCTCACTTTGACCTTGAGGAATCATTTTACCTCTGAGGTTCAGTGTCCTCATTTGCAAAAGGGTCTAACGCTTAGGAGTTTTTTGTGTGTGAGAATTAAATAAGTTTTTTTTTTTTTTTTTAAAGACAGAGTCTGTCACTCTGGAGTGCAGTGACGCAATCTTGGCTCACTGCAACCTCCACCTCCAGGGTTCAAGGGATTCTCCTGCCTCAGCCTCCTGAGTGGCTGGGACTACAGGCGCCCCACCACACCTGGCTGAATTTTGTGTTTTTAGTAGAGACAAGGTTTCACCATGTTGGCCAGGCTGGTCTCAAACTCCTGTCCTCTGGTGATTTGCCCACCTTGGCCTCCCAAAGTGCTGGGATTAGAGGATCCACCAGGAAGCGCTGTATTTACTCAGCAACCAGGAACTTCAGTGAGTTTTGGTGTCTAGAGTTTTTACTGGAATGTTGTTATGAAATAATTGAATCATTGCCTATGTGACTGAACTCAAATCTCCAGCCCCTCTTTCATACTTGGAGATTGATTGGGCTAGCTCGAAGTTTCAACTTTCTAATCATGAAGTTAGTTTTTCTAATGATTAGTCTTCATCCTGAAATATTTGAGGGACCCACCTTGAATTACCACATTAGCATAACAAAAATACTTTTATCACTCCAGGAATTCCAAGGGTTTTAGAAGCTTCCTGTCAGGAACCCAGGACAAAGACCAGAAAGATTCTTAATGATACCACTCTGTATAAGTGGATAATGATTGTTGTTGGTTACTTGATCTCTGAATGCTTAGAATTGAAGCCACCAGCTATTTCTGTTCTCTTGAGGATTTTGCAAGGAAAGTAGCAGTCATACTTAAAACTTATAGAATGCTTTATGCTTTTGAAAGCTCTTTCTTCCATTGTCTCACTTAATAATTGCAAAAACCCGGTGGGAAGTACATGTATTAGGTCAAAGTACTTTGGTTCTGTTGGCAGAACCCCGTTTATACAGAAAAGGAATGTTTCAAGGTGCTGCGATTTTCATGGAAGTCTCTAGCAAGAATAAGGGGCCTGGTTTGCAACAGCTGGCACTATCACCTTGAGAACGTCAGTTTCTTTTTTTCAAAATCTGTTTGTTGGTGTTTGAGTCTGTGCAGTACCTTCAGGGTTGACCACTAAGATATATTGCTTTTTGATCTGTTTACTGAGTCAAAATTTCTTGGCTTGGTTCATGTTCTTTTCTACATTGTTTGTATTTTTATTTGTTTGTCCCAGATACCTCTGAAAATATGCTGAAAGTTTTGGATCCTTTCCTGGGCAAATACGTACACCCATGGAAAGTTTTAACTGTTCTTCAGAATAGTCTGTGGAAATCTAGTTAAGATTCCCTGCCTGTTCTATAGCTTGCCAATACTCATATCAGAAGAATTTTACTTATTCATGTTAAAATTCTAGAAGAAAATTACTTATATCTGGAGCATATTTGAGTTTATGTTAAACACATTTTGTAACTTGATTGGAATACTTCTATGGAAATGATGTGTTTTGCTTATCATTTAGTCATCTTGATTATATCTTCATAATGGCTTCTCTTTGGGTGCAGATAAGCGATTTCAGTGGATTTTATTTTTTGTGTGTTTAAATTATTTCTCTTGTACTTAAATTATTTCAGGTCAATTACACAGCAGAATGTTCCAGAATTTTCCTACTGAGTTGTTGCTGTCGTTAGCAGTAGAACCTCTGACTGCCAATTTCCATAAGTGGAGCCTCTCCATGAAGGTATCACACTAATTACACAATGAAATTAATATGTTTAGAATAACTGCAGAAGTAATCATTTTGTTTTGTTTTTGTATTCTAGAATTTTACGATGAATGAAAAGTTAAAGAAATTTTTCAATGTCTTAACTACAAATACAGATGGCGAGATTGAGTTTATTTCATCAATGGAAGGTATATCACTATAGCATGTACACTTTATTTCGTTTATTTTATATTTTTGAGTTTTGATTTTGTATGTCTTAAAATCATGTTACTTTGGGGCCTGAAGATGGATGTTAGGGCATTTTCGGAGACAGGAGACGTGTTTTGTCCGTGTTTCAAATTAATTGCAGTTTTCCTGGGTATTTTCCTGAATGGAGTGGTGAAGAAGAAAAGTAAAAGAATAAAGGGGGTGGAGATGAAGAAAGAAATGAAGAAAATGACTTCTGTTTCTGGCAATATTGCAGATTAAATAACTTGATAGACTTTCCTCCAGCCAACAACAAAATAAATGTGGGTGATAATGGAAAAACATAGTAAATACGCTGATGAATTGGCAAACACATAAAGATACTCAGGTTCAAAATTTTAAGAGTTGAGTGGAATATTTAAACCAGTGTTGTTATTGAATCAGGAGAACTTGAGACAGTCAGGACCCTCTACATGGAGCAGGACTTGGAAGGCTATACCTGGAATGTCAGGCTGAACTCAAAATATAGCTGGAATCCGCCCTACATAATGGCAAGGAGAATTGCCCATCCTGAGCCTTGGGGCTAAGGGAGTGGGGTGGGGGTCAGTGAAGAAAGCCTTGAATGTTTATATTGATGGGCTGTTCTCCTAGTGTGGCCAGCATTATACCAACTGGGAAGTTGGACAAATCTTAAGTAAGTAATTTTGTTCAGGGTTGTCTCAGACTGGTAATGCCCTCACATGTGACGCTGAAGCAAATGTAAATAATTATTTTGAGAGGACCAGAGGTTCATCCCAGGCTTCACAGAATTTCCATATATGAAGTTTGAAGGAAAATGAACACTTCACAGCCAAAATACTACTAATGTACAAGCAAGCAAAGTACTGTGAATGAGAACTTGCAGAGATAACAGATGTGGAAGCAGACCTGCATAAATGTTAGATATTAGTATTATGAGATAAAGTATAATATATTTTAAGTTTTAAAGAAAGAAATAAGAATGCTTGCAAATATAGGCATGAAACAATCAGATTTGAAAATAACCAAATTCAGCTATTAGAAATTATAATTGAGGCTAGGTGTGGTGGCTTACACCTGTAATCCCAGCACTTTGAGAGGCCGAGGTGGATCACTTGAGGTCAGAAGTTCAAGACCAGCCTGGCCAATGTGGTGAAATCCTGTCTCTACTAAAAATACAAAAAAAAAAAAGAAAGCCGGACATGGTGGCATGTGCCTGTAGTCCCCTACTTGGAGGTTGCAGTGAGTCGAGACTGTACCACTGCACTCCAGCCTGGCTGACAGAGCGAGACTCTGTTTCAAAAAAAAGAGAAGAAATTGTAATTGAAATAAAACCCTCAGTAGATATGTTAATCAGAAGGTTAGACACAGTTGAGGAGAAGTTAATGAACTAGAATAGAAGATAGATGTGAAGGAAACATTCAGAATCCAACATAGCCAGACATGTAAATGTAAATGCCAAATGTGTCAGAAGAAAGGTGGGAATCTGGAGGGTAAAGTGATTTCTTACATACCTAACCAGAACTCTTGAAGGAATGGGAAAAAGTAGGACAGAGACAGACTCTTTTTTCTGTGGTTTCTTTTTTTTTTTTAAATTCAGGTGGATAAAAGACCTAAGGAGAAGGGCACACTACAGTAAGGTTTTAGAAAAAGTAAAGGAGAATGTCTTTATGATCTTGTTTAAGGGAAGGAGTTTTGAAGACAAAATATAAACAAACCATAAAGGAAAATATTGATGAATTCAATCAAATGAAGAAGTTGTATTCATAAAAGAAAACAAATTACACAAGAAAAAAAGGGGAGGTATTTGTAATGCATATAACTGACAAAAGTTGTGCATCTAGCTTACATAAAGTAAAGCTATGATTTAAGAAGAAAAGATAACTTATGAAAAATGGATATGAGGGCTGGGCATGATAGCTCACGCCTGTAATCCCAGAACTTTCAGAGACCAAGGCGGGCAGATCGCTTGAGGTCAGGAGTTTGAGACCAGCGTGATCAACCTAGTGAAACCACGTCTCTACTAAAAATACAAAAATTAGCCAGGCGTGGTGGCACACACTTGTAATCCCAGCTACTTGGGAGGCTGAGGCAGGAGAATTGCTTGAACCTAGCGGGCGGAGGTTTCAGTAAGCTGAGATTGCACCACTGCACTCCAGCCTGGGCGACAGAGTGAGACTCTGCCTCAAAAAAAAAAAAAAAAAGAAAAAAAAAAAAAAAAGGATATGGTATTTGAATAGATACTATACAAGAGAAACTTGTCCTGTCCACTTATGGCTTGGTGAGATAAGTTGCTCAGTGTAATTACAGGGAATTAATTCATGATCAGGGAATGCAAATGGAAACCAAAGTAAAAACCATTTTATACCCATCAGATTGGCAAAATTAAGAAGCCTGCTGATAACTAGAGTTACCCAGGACGTGGCACAGCAGGTGCTCTCATGCACTTATGATTGCAAAACATTTTGGCATTTCTTAGTAAAATCAAACATTTTCCGGTTTTGTTACCTGGCAGTTTTATTCATTGGTTAAAAAATACCTTAATTAAATAATTTCATGTACATAGAAATGTACGTGACATTATGTTCATACCAGCAAAAAAATGCGAAACAACTCAAAAGTCCAATAGTGCAAAGGATAAGTAATACTACATAGCTATTAAAATCAGTGAGCACACTGGCGTGTACCACTGAATGAATCATGAAGACAATTTTGAGTTGAAGCAAGTCCCAAGGGAATACATGCTGTATGTTTTCATTTATATGATGATTAAAATTTGGCAAAAAAGAAACAATGTATTGTTTGGTGGTAAATTTAAGGCAAGGATGGTGTGATGAATAATTATGAGAGTCCTTCTCACTGGGCTGAAGGGGTGGGAAGGACAGTAGAAGGGCTTTGGAAGTATTAGTCATGTTTTCTCCTCCCAATCCGGCAGACCTCACTACATCAGCATTAACCACCTGCTACCTGGATTGCTGCAGCAGCAGCCTTCTAAGGCTTCCACAAACCCATCTTCTTCCAGCCACCCACTCGTGGTCTACTGAAATACCAGTCTGATAGTATTTTCTGAACAAAGCTCCTCAGTGGCTCGTCTGCATGGGAGGATGAAGTCTAGATTTATGAGTTCACTTCCTCCACACCCTCTTTCTGCTTTCACCTCTAGCTTGTACCCTGCTAGAGTAGCATGACCCTGCTACACACAGCCCTTCCACAGAGCCATGCTTCTTGGCTCTGCGCTCCTCATGTGCTTTCCTCTTCTCTGAAAAGCTCCCGCTTTCCCCTATTTGTTTCTCCTGATGAACTCTTAGCCATCTTGAAAAACCCAGGCCACTTGTCATCCCTAGAGGCCTTCTCTACCATCATTCCTCTTCTCCACAACCTTGGTGCTTTGTGCTATGTGGGAATGTTTCCTAAGAGCACGTATTTGCTCTTGTTCTATCATCCCTCTAGATGAAGAGCTCTTTGAGATCAGGAACTGTATCTTGTTCTCCTTTGTGTTTCCAGGGCTTTATGTAAACCTCATAGATGTTGAATGAATGCCTACTTATTTAAATGATAGAATATTGGGTTAGAAGTTAGGTAATCAGGTTCCATGTTGGTTCTGCTTTTGACTATGCCATACCAGGCTCATTTGAAAATTTGCTCCCACCTCCAAAGTAGGAACACTTGAGATGCTTTATTATTTGCATATTTTCTTTCCACTCTTGATACTTTTGTGTAAATCAGTGAGGCAGGGTATGATTCCTCATTTTCAGGAAACTGCACTGGTCTTTTAGTAATGCAGTTTACTAAAGAAGAGTAAATCTCACTTGTTACTGAATGTCGGTGACTTCAAAAAGTTTACGGGAAAAATTGAATTAAAATATAAAAATAAAAACTATAAACTTTGTTTCTCAAGCTCTATCAAGTTTAAGACATTTTTGCCCATGATGATACCAGCCTTTTAGTTCATCCCTAAAGAACCGAGGGTCCTGTGAATTGAACCATGTCAAATGCAGTCTTTTTTACATTCTTAACAGAAATGAGTGCCCTTTAAAGACTTTTGAAGATTAGGAAACAAGAATAAGTCAGAAGGAGCCAAATCAGGACCATAAGGTCCTAATGGGTTCTCATCAAAATGCTCACTAAATAGCCCTTGTTGGATGAAAGGAATGAGCAGGAACAATGTCATGCTGGAGAAGGACTCTGGAGAAGCTTTCTTGGGCGTTTTTCTGCTAAAGCTTTGGCTGACTTTCTGAAAACACATAAAAAGCAAATGTTACTGTTCTTTAGTTCTCCAGAAAATCAACAAGCAAAATGCCTTGGAGCATCCAAAAAAACATTATGACCTTTGCCCTTGACCAGTTCACTTTGGCTTTGACTGGACCACTTCCATCTCTTGGTAGCCATTGCTTTGATTGTGTTTTCAGGTTCGTACTGGTAAAGCCGTGTTTTATCTGCAGTGGCAGTTCTTCAAAGTAATGCTCTAGGGTCTTGATCCCACCTGTTAAAATGTCCATTGAAAGTTCTCCTCTTGTGTGCAGCTGATCTGTGTGCAGTGGTTTTGGCACCCATCGAGTGGAAAGTTTGTTCAACTCTGGTTTTTCAGTCAGGGTTGTGTAAGCTGTCCCAATTGAGATGTCTGTGGTGTGGGCTATTCTGCTGTTTATTGTTGATCTTCTTCAATTAAGACACGAACAAGATACATATTTTCCTGGCAAATTGATGTGATAGTCTGCCTGGAGGCTTCAACATTATTTCATTCCATCTTAAAATGAGTTATCCTTTGGGAAACTGCTGACTTCTTTGGGGCATTATCCCCATAAATTTTTCATAAAGCGTTAGTGATTTCACCATTCTTTCTTCCAAGCTTCACCGTAAATTTGCTATGTTTTCTGTCTTCAATTTTAGCGAAATTCATATTGCTGTTACAGGGGTTCTTTTAAAACTAGTGTCTTATCCTTCTTAGTGCCTCATACTCGATCCTGTTCATACAAGTTACTACAAGTTTATTTTGGTGCAAAAAAAAAGTTGAAACCTTGCATAATTTTTTTTCATAATACACATTTTCCATGAGCTTTTTGAAGACTTCTTATATATATGTTATGTATGTCTCTCTTTCTCTTTCTCTCTCTGATTCTATTGGATGTAAATCCTTTTTATGATTTAAGACATTTTTTGTCCTCAATAGTGCTTCATGCATTGGAAAGTTACTAGAAGATCTGCCTTTCAGTTAACTGTACGTCACAGTTAATTTGCTAGTCCCCCAGCCTGTGGGCCTCTTGCCGGTAGCTTCACAGGTAGTCCCAGAATAGAGAGGAAGAAATGGTAGTGTCACATGGAAGTAGGGGAGGCAGGGAGCTGAGTGCCTGGAATTGCATGAGGCGGGTGTTTCCTTGTGAATATCCACAAAGCCGGGATAAAATGTTTCCCTTCTGTGGCCTGCTCTCTAGTCAGAAAGCTTACTGGGATGAGAATGGATGGTGCTCTTACCCCTAGATATCTCTTCTTTCATTAATTGTCTTCATTCCTCCAAGTACTTTCTGATGGTGGTCATGGTTATAATTCCAAAGCAAAAAATAATAGAGGGGAGAATTTTTTTTTTTTCAAATCAAAATGAAGAAAGGCATATCTGAAAAAGAGATGAATATGTGTATTTTTCTGAAGGTAACTATTACACATATTCACATTTTTTTGAATTGTGGAATTGTTCATGCTTATTTAAAAGTAGAGAGAGTAATATGAACCCTGGGTGTCTGTCTCAGTTAGCTTCGACGATTGTCAATAGCTCTGTGTCCCTTCTTGTTTTATGTCTGCTTTTAAACTTCTACAAAATATTTTAAAAACGTATACCACAAAGTCATCAGTCATTCCATAGACTGAGAGAGAGAGACACAGTTTAGGCTGGGACAAACTGGCTTGTGTGAAAGGACACCAGAAGTGCTGCCATACTTCATTCTCATATGAATAAGTTGTTATGGGAGGACAGGAAAGCATGCTATGAGACAGGGGAGAAAGAGACCCACTGTGGAAGAAGCTTGTATCACCAATAAAATGTGCATCTGACTTTTGGACAGGGATACATTCCTCAGCTCAGCTTCTACTTTGCTATGAATATCTCAAAAAGCAAATCGCTCTACAAATTGTAAAACGTTTGCTAATCAGTGAAATACATTACTGGAAATTTTCACATTCAGTGTGAATGGAAATTATTTTGTGTCTGAGAGAATATGTACAATTTTACCTTGTCTGCTATTGTGAGTTATAAAATGTTTTACATAAGACATAAACCAATTTCATTATAAGTAACATCTTAAACCATTCTTAGTACTTACTAATTTGTATTCTTCTTACAGGATATAAATATCCAATATATGGTGTCCAGTGGCATCCAGAGAAAGCACCTTATGAGTGGAAGAATTTGGATGGCATTTCCCATGCACCTAATGCTGTGAAAACTGCATTTTATTTAGCAGAGTTTTTTGTTAATGAAGGTAATATGAGGGTATATAATTTTGTCATTTTGGGGTAGTTTTGAAGAAAATTGCCCTCATCTGAACTTTTACCTACCTTTTTGCTGTATAAATGTTTTGGAAGTTCTGTGGGTTTAACTTTAATGAATAATACAAATGTTAAGTAATGTGAAAACCCTGAAATTTAGATGTTAGGTATTCTGATAAAACCAGGACAGTTATTTCAATTAACAGTATCATACATGCTTCAGTGGGCAGAATTCTTGAACAACAGCATGAAGAATGTTGAGAGTTTTTTTTTTCTTTCTTTCTTTTTCTTTGTTGTTTTTGTTTTGTTTTGTTTTGACAGGATCTTGCTCTGTTGCCCAGGCTGAAATGCAGTGATGTGATCATAGCTTATTGCAGCCTCGAACTCCTGGGCTCAGGGGATCCTCCTGCCTCAGCATCCTGAGTTGTTGGGACTATAGGTGCACACTACCATGCCGAGCTCTTTCTTCTCGGATACTTTTCATTTAGATTCTTCCCTATTACTCTCCATTTTTTAGAATAATGCTTTAATTATAGCAGTCTCTGAGAATTACGTGTTACTTTTCCAAGACAGTGATAGAAATTGAATATCTACCACCAGTTGGTGATTGTAAGGCTACCTGTCTGTAGGCGTTGGCATAGTGGAGGAAGCAGATAAACTCTGCCTGTTTTTTGGTGATGAAAACATAGACATATTCATGCTATGTTATGTTTGTGGTAAACCGAGAATTTGGTTGTAAATGCTCATTTCTTAGTTGAGCGTTTTAAGTACAATAAGTCCTATGATTTGAGCAGAACTGTGTATAGCAGGTCCTTGAACAACATTGTTTACTTTGAAGCTGTTTCATTATAACATTGATGGAAAATGGTTTTGTTATACATTGTTTTGCTTAAAAGTAGTACAAGAACCTATCAATGATGTTAAGTGAGACTGTAAGACAGAGGTACAAAAACAACTTGTAAAGGATAAAGATCACTTTGGTGAGGTATAGCCATTTAAAGACTTCAGTGAACTTTGTTGTCATTCCATCTCCAAGCTTGCCCTAAGTTTTTATCAACTCTCCTGCCATTGCTGGGAAGTTAAGTACTTCCTACTGAGTTTACTCTGCTTTAGAATTATGCAAAGCTGAGTGGATTGTTTTATGTCAAAAACTCCAAATTAAAGAAAAAAAGTATCCCATATACAGTATTAGTCCAAAGGAACGTTTTCATGTGTGCGTGGAGTGAATGAGGGCAGCAGTGGCAGTGCCGCATTTGCTGCAGTAGTAGTCACGTGGCATTTAGTCTATGTGGTCTTTATCTTCCAACATTCTTCTCTCTAAAAATGCCGTAAGAGCCTGTATTTACTTTGGGAGCTTTAGGAGCTCTCACCTCCTCACATTTCAGCTTCCATCATGCCAAACTTCTCACTGTGCCTCCCGGTTTTTCGTAATTCTGCCTTACCTGTGAAAATGTCTCACTTCTCCGTCTGCCTCAGCTTCGCCAGTTTCTCCATCCTTTTCACTCTTGTAGCATCCAGTGATGATACGCCATAAAAACATTTTTATCCTATGATTCTGTGTGGTTACGAGGCTGAACTTCTTGAGTGTTAGGATCTGTTCTGTTTATATTTCCATCCCCAGGCTGTGTATCAAGTCTTGTGTACACATAGCCACTTGGTAAGTATTTGAATGAGTTGCTGAGTGAGCACCACATGGGATATGCTGCAGGGCGAATGCAGCACAGCTGCTGTGTCCGTGGGCAACTGTGCCATAAACCGGGCACTGCTTTATTTGGGGAAATGTTGTAAAGCATTTCCCTCCCTCCCTCCCTCCCTCCCGCCTCCTTCTCCTCCTCCTCCTTCTTCTTCTTCCCTTCTCCTCCGCCTCCTCCTCCTCCTCCTCCTCCTCCTCCTTGAAAGCAAGTTTATTAGAGAAGTAAAGAAAAAAAAAGATGGCTGCTCTATAGGCAGAGCAGTCGCATTTCTCTTCTTGTTGATGTTTTCCCACTTAATAATGCTGATTGCAGGAAAAAATGTTATAAAATAGTCTCTTGACGATTTTGTCATCTAATATTTTTAAAAATTAACTTTTTTTTTCTTCCAGCTCGGAAAAACAACCATCATTTTCAATCTGAATCTGAAGAGGAGAAAGCACTGATTTATCAGTTCAGTCCTGTTTATACTGGAAATATTTCTTCATTTCAGCAATGTTATATATTTGATTGAGAGTCTTCAATTTGTTGACAGAGCAAATTTGAATAATTCCATGATTAAACTGTTAGAATAACTTGCTACTCATTGCAAGATTAGAAAGTCACAGATTCTTTTCTATAATGTGACTGGCTCTGATTCTTCATTCAGTATAGGACTATTTATATAATATTTGATAATTAGTGAGACATAAATAATCACAGTGTTTTCTTGGAAAAACCTTCTTATAGCTGAAGATTGGAAAAAATAAATTTACTGAAATACAAATATTTTTTCTAATTGATTTGCATTGGATATAAATACCATCCTCTACCTGCCCACCCCGTCCTCCTTGCTGAAAAAGAAAAGAATGTTTTAAAATCCTACCACTTGTTCATTGTGATGTCTCCCTCCTTTGGGTCTCAGGAGTATTTGTGTGTGTGTGTAGGTATGTGTGTATAGATATGTGTGTGTATGTGTGTATCTCCTTTTCTGCCCTGTGTTAACTTCACATTTCAAGCGTACACATCCTGAAAACAGAGTCTGTGTCTTGAACTTTATATCTTTCACAGTGTCTAGCCCAGTAGGCCCTCAGTAAGTAATTGTCACTACTTGTAAGTTTTTTCCCATGGAAAATAATTTAAAAGCTGTCATATATTTATTTTGGCACACTTTAATGTACTTTTCTTTCTGTCTTTTTTTTTTCTTTTTCTTTTTTTTTTTTTCCCGAGATGGAGCTTCTCTCTTGTTGCCCAGGCTGGAGTGCAATGGTACAATCTCAGCTCACTGCAACCTCCGCTTCCTGGGTTCAAGCGATTCTCCTGCCTCAGTGTCCTGAGTAGCTGGGATTACAAGCATGCGCCACCACACCTGGCTAAATTTTGTATTTTTAGTAGAGATAGGGTTTCGCCATGTTGGCCAGGCTGGTCTCAAACTCCTGACCTCAGGTGATCCACCAGCCTCGGCCTCTGAAAGTGCTGGGATTACAGGCATGAGCCACTACACCTGGCCAACTTTAATGTATTTTTCAGTCCGTGCTACTTTCCTCCACACTTCACCATCCCATATAACCCTCAGAAGTATGAAATTTAGGAACTCTTTGAGGACAACCAGGCTGCTGGAAGGGAGAGAGGGTTTGCTGAGCTGTGAATGGTAAATGGTGTTTGTACATCTGTTCTCTGTGGGCTTCCAGAGCTTCTGCAAGAGAAGGGGAAATAGAAAACCGTGAGTAGGGATGATGTTGGAGGGCATCGTGGACGATTTCACACGCAACAAGAGAAGAACAATCACCTGCAGACACTGAGCTAAGCCATAATCTTTGGGGAGTGGGGACAAATGGCACATATAAATTGGAAGAGATTAATACATTTAATTAAAGAACTTTACTAGAAATGTGGCAGATTTAGTTTCTGTCTGTGAACATGATTATTTGTTGAGTCTTACTGTTGAATGTGCCTGGCTAAGTTTTTGTCTCCTACCACTAGAAAAAGGTAGTGACACTATCATTGCTCACGGTGGCGGGGTTTTTCCCAACCCATTTGTGTTGAAACCATACAGAACTGCTTATCTGTGCAGTTCCCAAGAACAACTTCATCCGGACTCTGGTTACTCATGATGCTGCATCCTCCATCCCTTTGCCCTGAATACTGGCTTCCAAAGGTTCTTACTGTGCTTCATAGACCACCAAAAATGCAAGAAGATGTGTTTTCTGCTCATATTCAGCTTATCGTTTTTCCCATCATGTTTTTTTTTTTTTTTTTTTTTTTGAAAACTTTATTTGCTAGGTAACTTTATTCCAAGAATGCAATCTCTTTCAAAGCTGACCACACCCTTGCCTCTGCCCACCACCACCAGCAGGAAAGACAAGCCAGCTTGAAGGCAAGTGAGGAGAGCAGTGCCGTTCAGAAGCCTGGCATCCCTCCATTAGTGGACGCAGGAGAGGTCGTTGATTAGAGGTGCCTGTTGGAGTTGCTGGGCAGCAGTCTGGAAAGCCCTGAGAGATGGATGGCCACTCCTGGAAGACGGCCTGACGTGGGGAGCCTGGGGAGGAGGGAGGTCACAGCCCTCTGTCAGCAGGAGAGGGCAGAGGCTGAAAGAAAGTGTGACTGAGGGAGCAGGTGTGGATTAGAAAGGAATAAGAAGAAAGAACAGAAACAGGAAGGACTGGGTGGGTATGGAAGAGACGGCTAATGTGTTCCCTTCCCCAGCCAAAGCTGATTTGAGTTTCCAAGGGTTTTTGGAGAGCGATTGCCAAAGCTCTTACCTCCAGCATTTCCAATTCTCTTCCTGTGTGGAATATCCCAAATGGAGTATATACACTGGGCTTCAAAGGCAGGCCCTGCACTCATTTCTGTTGAGCCAGATGTTTCTGAGGGCCCACAGCTTTATGTATCTTGAGGGCTGGCGCAAGATATTTTATGAGGAGATGTTGAGTGTCTCCATTTCCACATAGCAGAGTAGGGGAATCCTCAAAACCTTGTCAGTAGGCCGAATCCCTCGTTGCACAAATGGTCCTGTGAGAGTCCTCGCACCTGGAACCTGGCGCACAGAAGGGCTGCATGCGCTTCCCCATCTTCCCTCCCTCCATTGCAATAATCAAGCAGCCCTGCCTACATACTGGGTCTTTCCATTTTTATCTAATTGCAAGAAAATATTTAAAAGAATTTTCTCCTATGGTAATAATTGAGCAAAAAAGGTCTTTCACTCCTCAGACACAACTTTGTTGTTTGCTTGGGATTTTATTTCGTTTAAACAGATTTATTTCAAAAATAAAATTTTTGTTCCACATAGCGTTTTCTTTTCTTTTTTCTTTTCTTTTTCTTTTTTTTGGAAACAGAGTCTCGTTCTGTCACCCCAGGCTGGATGGAGTGCAGTGGTGCAATCTCAGCTCACTGCAACCTCCATCTCCGGGATTCAGGTGACTCTCCTGCGTCAGCCTCCCAAGCAGCTGGGATTACAGGCACGCACCACCACAGCTGGCTAATTTTTGTATTTTTAGTAGAGATGGGGTTTCACCATGTTGGTCAGACTGGTCTTGAATTCCTGACTTCAAGTGATCCCCCTGCCTCAGTCTCCTAAAGTGCTGGAAATACAGGCATGAGCCACTGCGCGCTTGGCCAGCATTTTTATTTTAGTAGTTAAAAATTAACTGGGGTTCTCCAGAGAGGGCCCCACCGCATACCCTGGGGGAAGGAATGCTGACCTCATGAAGCTTCCATTAAAGCCCAAGAGGATGGAGTTTGGAGAGCTTCTGGATAGCTGAACACAGGGAGGTTCCTGTAGGGTGGTGCGCCCAGGGAGGGCATGGAAGCTCCGTGCCCCTTCCCTGGTACCTCACCCTATGTGTCATCCTTTGTAATGTCCTTTATAATAAACCTGTAAACATTAAAAATGAAAAACTGGAGGTGTTTTGCAGTAATGTATAGGAAACACTAGATGTCAGGAGAGAACAAGCTAATCTAATGTTTAACTGGTTGTGTTTGCACTCAATTATTTAGAATAGTAGATTTTAGGAAATTGTTAGAAACCTAAGGAACATTTACAAGTAAATTATATTTGTTAGATATTGTATTTAATTTATTTAAATATATATTTAAATATAAACATAAACATAGACTTACACCTAATACTGGATGTTTTCCACTCTGATCTATGCGGAGGTCCTGATGACTCAATAGAAACACTTTTAAGCATGTATTAAGGGCCAGGTGCTATCATGTACATAAATCTATAGATTGTACATACAATTCCAATTTTCTCTCCCCTTATGCTTAACTGTCCAAAATCTAAGCTAGCAGGGTGTTTTTTTGGGGGGGGGGGGTTGGGTGAAGAAAGAATCAACACCTCATGTAATGAGACATGCTTCTGGGAAGGCCTGCAGGGAAGGTACCAAATCAATCAAGCATTCCTTGGTCATTTCTAAGGGTGTGGGCAGGAGAAGTGCTTCAAATGAGCATGAACTTGGTTTGTTTGTTTGTTTGTTTTTTCCTATAGCGTAAGGTTTCTCAACTTAATGTACTCTAAATCTTGTCATGGTTTCTCTTCCAAATTTAAAGGAAAGTTTCTAATCATTAGCTTTCCTGTTGAACTTGTTTCTTTTTGCATAAATTTGGCATGCTTTTCAGCTTCCAGTTCTCTGACATTTATTACAATTTCTCATAATCTTAATTTAGAGTCAGTTTGTTTCATAGCATAGATTCCCTTTAGAAAAATTTTACAATAACACTGTAACATCTTTTGCTATAGTTCAGCGTTCAAGTTAATCCTAGAAGTTTTTCAGGGAGAAACTCAAGGGTTTGAGGGAATTAGAGGATCTCAGAATGGAAGAGAATTTAGTTGATCATACTGGGTAATGGGAAGACTGTATTTCCAATAATGAAGCCTACATAGTATTTGTTTTAGGCCAGCCACATCACTCCTGGATTATTACAATGAACTGTTCACAAACTAAAAATTGCAATTCTTTCTTAACCAGTTCGTATGTCATACCTTCCATCCAGCTTCCCAGTGGAGAAGAGTGGGCAAGCGCACCAGAAGTCAGATGCCAAGGGTCAGGTTTTATTTGTGCCATTCGCTAACTGTGTAACCTTAGCCATGAAAGTTGCTGTTTATACTCTGCATACTTTGAGTCCTTTACATTTTTTCTGCGTTTTTAAACCGAGAAAAGATGATTTTTCTTTTATAGTCTCTGATAATCTAAAAAATTATTTCCTACACTTTTAATAAAATTAATAATTTGCACAATAAAAGTATTCACCTTGAGCAGCTAGAATAGCAGTTTTACTTTGCCAATAGTTAAAACTATCCTTTCTCTTTCAGTTTTGTAAAATGAAGTGAGGATGGGAATTTGCATTTTTTCTCTTCTCTAGTCAAAAGAATCTAAATTACTTGGTTCCTCTTTGCTAGTCTCTACCCAAGGACAAAGGAGCTAACACATATGCGAATCTCTTAGTATAATTAAATATGATGATTGACCCCAGTTTTGAGGGAAAATAACCACATAAAACAAGATTTGAACTTAGAATGGACTTTAGAACAATAACAATGTAACAATGATAATAAAAGAATTGAATTAAGGAACTCCTTTTGTTATTTCCCCTTGGCCTGTTTTCACACAGTTGCCAATACTTTGTGTTCTGCTCTTTTTACTTAACTAGATCAAAAGCACATTTCCTTATTGCTGCAGGGCGGCCTGAGCTGCTGGGTCTTTACCCTCTGGGAGGGTCGGATTGCCCTGCTGAGTGACTAAGCTCAGCAGGCTAGGATTGGTCAGTGTAGGAGGTGGATCG